GGCATTCAGAGTCCCGGTTCAAATTCTATCTCAAAAACCCTCAAGGAAAGGCTCCGCAGCTTTTATCTTGCGTTCGAAGAGATCTACAAGAGCCAAACAACATGGTTCATTCCGGATCCTCAGCTTCGAGAAGATGTGCAAATCTCAGCATCACTGAATGTAATCCAAGCTTATAGGACATTCGTGGGAAGACATTCAAACGACATAAGTGGCAAGCTCATCAAGTACAGTGCGGACGACTTGCAGAATTACCTCTTGGATCTCTTCGAGGGATCCCCTAAATCATTACAAAATTCCAGCAGGAGGTGGCAGCATAATAAGTGGTATTGTGACTATTGTCATGTTATGATTTACAGCAGAGGAAGGCTTTTCATTTCATGCTGATATATATTTTGATTGTTACAACAGGCCAGGATTCCCCCATGAAATTGAAATGGGATTCTTTCCCTCGGTAGTTTTCGTGTGTATAACGTTTGTAATGTGATGAATTCGGTTTTCTTTTCTGACGCCTGCATTGGACATCCTAAGTTCTAACTGATATAAGACTGAATGAAGCAAGTTTTCGCGTGTGTATCGTTTGTAATGTGCTGAATTCTGTTTACTTTTCTGACCTCTGCATTGGATGTCCTAACTGATACAAGATTGAGCGAAGCAGATTTTCGTATGCAACTTTATGTGCTTTTGCTGAATCTGTTTCTCTTCAAGTTTGTCAAAATTGGGTGGTGATTCTGTCATAAAGTCCTCTGCTTCAGCCGTTGCTGCAAACTCAAGACTATGATACCATGTGAGTAGATTTGGCCCCAGTAGTCCATACCAAGTCAAAGTTTCATCTCTTGTAAGTTGTAACTGGTGATTCATCATAAGGTCACGTGACGCTTGAGACAAACATATGGTAAATCACTGGTTGCACGAAAAATTCTTCAGAAAGGCTTGAAAGGCCAATGTATTTGAAGTTGGGGAGCTCCTTTGCATGTAACCAGAGATATACACAATTGTCTCTGTCTCACTCGTCACATGAGCAAGCGATTCACTCACAAACAAAATAAAGGAAGTCACATGACGAGCAAAAGATAGATACGTGGATATATTCCCGGCTGCATCCGCGTTTTCCTCTCGAAGTCACAGAATTCTCCAGTTCACATTTGACAAGGACTCAAGGACCGGACTGCTAACTTTTATTACCTGTATGTCCCTGGAACATCAATGTCCTGTAATGTAATTGATGACATCAATGTCCTGTAATGTAATTGTTGGTCCCTAGTGGTGGTTGGAGATATAAATGGAGAGCTACTATGTCTGATTTTTGTGGCTGAGAAGCAGCCCTAAGGGCTGAGTCATGCCTCCCAAGAACCCCGTTCAAATTCCAAAAACAAGTGACATTGAACGAGTATTTTGCACCATTGCGGCATGACCTAGTAAAATCTGCCTTTTTCTGTTTTTTTCACTTCTTCAACTTCATTTATTTTCCAACTACTTGATCTAGTCCTTCCTTTATTTGTCTCTTTCCGTGGAGAAGTTCTTGTGTACACTAACACTACTGTATCTAACACATGACCGGGTAGTAGAACCCGAGTGAGACCAGTTGTGCTCATCATGTGAGAGGGATTGGACCGTTGTATCAAATGGTTATATTGGTGACCTGTGAGCTTGGTCGGGGAAAAGCTAAATCTCAAAAGAAATTTTTACATGAACATTCACTTTTCTTGCACGGCAAAAACCAACAGCTAAATAACCGAAAAAGTGAATGTTTATGTGAAAAAATACATTCACTTTCTCGCATGGCAAAAACCAACGGCTAAATAACCGAAAAAAGTGAATGTTTATGTGAAAAAAATACAAGGTTAGTTGTGAACTGTGTCTTCACTTACCCTGTATAAATTTATCTTACACTGCCAATCCTAAATCGGATAAAAGAGAAAGAAGAATGCGTCAGGTAGTTGACAAGCGACTCCCTATAATATTGTTGTTTTTGCGTACTGCGTCTTGGAAGGGTACAGAAGGAAAACGATAGAAAAAGGTAGTTGTAAATATTATGTTCCATTAGCAAGTATTGAGCTAGACTTGCTCCACGGATTCCATGTGCAAGAACAGACCAATAGTTGTTCCACCAGCGTCGGCAGCCAATTTTCAACCATCAACACCAACGCGACTTTTATGCCAATGCAACTGGAAATATCAGTAGTAGCTCAAAATTTGCATCTCAAACTAAACTAAAACTAAACTAAACTAAACTAGAATTAAGGTTATTTCTAACTGAATGAGGGTCAAAGGGCCATATTTAGCCTTATAACGCTGTAAGAAATTATATTTTAATAAATGATGGCAAGCCATATTTTATACCATCTCCAACCGAGTGGGCCAAAGGAACATAGGCCAAATATAACCCTCTCAATAATTTATTATTTTAATTGAATTGATATGGTTAATTAAATTCAACTACCATATTTTCTGACATATTTTGATTGTCACTTGCCACAATAACAAAGAAAGTGTGGTATTGTTGCACCTGCCACAAAGTCAAGCTTGACGCTGGAGGGCTGGGTTGGAGGGGTGATTGGAAATGGCCAGCATGTTGGCCTGACTTGGGGTTTTTGGCCCGGTGAAGCCCACAAGCTCTTTGGCCTAACCTTCGGTTAGAGACGATTTTCGTGTCATTCCGAACTATTTTTAACCATATGGTCCTTTGGTCGGGTTGGTTGGAAATGGCCTAACATATCAAGTATGTACAAGATTCAACTTCGTTATAGTGACAAAAAAATATTTTTTTCGTACCCCTCCACTTATTTTATGGCACACCACAATCCACCTAGACACAATCATCATAAATGATTTGTGCGACGGCGGTGGAGACGTGTTAGGGATAATCCCTTCAATCTTCTTCTATTTTTTCTCTTTTTCTGAATTTTCCTCTTCCCATGGAACTCCCCCTCTTTACACCATGGAAGAAGATGTCAAGTCCTCTGATCAACCCTTCTATGATCACTGCCCATGCACAAGTCAGAACTTGAACTTTTCTCAACGTGAAGTATCCGTTTGAATACCAGTGACTTAGAAAAATTTCTCGTACGACACCCCTTACAATATAGCAAGATTCTCTATATTTAGTTTCATCTAATCCATGTTAATCTCATGCGATTGAGTTAGTTGCCTTATACGAGTTGCTGCTCTCGCACACAAGAACAAAGACAAACCCATGCTTAGGAAATACGAGCTATATACCAGCCCTTTTTTTTGAGAGAAAAATAGCTTATATAGTATGAAGACTTAGCCCATCTCAAAATTTGATATGTGACACCCTTTGTCTACCTAAATTCACTTTTATCATCCAGTTGTCTAGGAGGTTTGCACGTAACAATTTAGACGAGTTCACCATCAAGTGCGTAAATCAAGATGAGATGTGTGATAAAATTAGAGTTTCAAGGTAACATAACCATCAAGTGTGTAAATTAAAGATGAGACGTGTGATGAAATTGGATTTCCAATATAAAAACAATTGGTAATATGAGGAGTGACTGAAGATCATATAAGCCAATAGCAAGACATATCCCTCACTGAGATGAGACAAACTTTTCCTCACATCATCAAATCTCAACACGGCCACGCAAGCGTGGCCAATTTTCAAGTCTACACGTTGACAACTAGGTGAGGCATAAGCATCACACGAGGGACAGTCTGCTCCAATACCATGATAAAATTGGAGCTCAATATAAAACTTGACAATATAAAAAATGATCCAATACCATATAAGCCTATAACAAGGCATGTCCCTCTCCGATATGGTAAAAACTTTTCCTCACATCAAATCTCAACAACGTGACTTTTAATGTGTTTCATGCAAGTTAACTACGGCCGTAAAAGTTGACAAATTTCTGAAGAAGTTGACAAATTTCTGAGCACCTTACTGTGCTGTCACGCCCTAAGCAAACCAAGTAGAAATCCCCTCTCCTTTCTGTTTTGTTTTGTTTTTCCATTTCGCAGCACACACTCTCTCTCTAGTTTTTCACTTCCAGTGGAAAGCAAAGACCAGCTGCACAATCCGCACGGCGTTCTGCTGCTGCCAGATCAACGGAATAATCAGAATTATGCCGCTAATGTGGTGCTGTGCGCCAACGTCACCACCGCCGGAAGCGGTGGTGGGTACGTTAATGGCAAGGAAAGATGGAAGCTTTAGGAGTGTGGTGATCAATGTGAGGGGTGCAGGCACAAATAATGGGTTCCCATCGTTTCTTCCAAAGGAGGTTCAGAAAATTAAGGACCCATATGCCAGAAAGTTGGCTCAGAGGATGGAGAGGCTCCCTGTGTCGGTAACCCACTAATCTCGTTCTCATTTTTGTTAATCTAACTAATTTCGTTTCCTTACGAAAATGATAGTTTAAACTATTCTACTGTACTAATTTAGAGCTAAAGGAAGTTTGATGAGCTCGTAAACTGGTCTAATTCACATATAAGTTATAACACATGTATGCTTAATGCCGCTAATTATGATGTACATTTTTTCATGAAGTACTTGGGCTTATTTTGAAGATGATTTCTGATAGATCTGACAATTTTTTACACGACCTGTTAACATGACGTGGACACGAAAATAACAGGTTTCGGATCAACACGATAACTAATCGGGTCATTATCGGATCATACGATAATAAACCGTTAATAACGGGTCCTTAACAGGTTTACACAAGAATAACATGTGGTTAACCTGTTTCGACACGATAAGAAAAAAATTATTTTCCTGATTTTAATTTTTTTAAACTACTAAAAAAACTCACTATAAAATACAATAGACATAATAAATATGTATATTGTTTATTAATTATTATTCTATATAAATTTTAAAATTTAAGTTTTATTTACTTATTTATTTATTTTTATAGGTATTATAGGCAAAGATTGAGATTGAAAATCATAAAACACATTAAAAATAAAAATATCAAGTAATTTAAAAATACAAAATACATTAAAAAATTATAGTTATTAATTTACGTATGCGCAAAATATGAAAAAAAATATGCAAATGCTTGTAGTCGCATCCTCTGGGCTTTGAGGATGGGTATATGATTGTTTGAATTTTTAAAACCATACAAAATCTCATGAATAGTATTTTTAAGGGAGTTCAAAATAAATAAAATTCATAATCATTATAACAATGAGACGATGGTTACATGGTCGTTTAAATTTTTAAAACCCTCCAAATCTCATGAACAGTGTTTTTTATTTGAGTGCAAAATTAATAATAATTATTGTAGAAGTGTGAAAAATGTAATCACTCGTAATGAAAAGCGTTACAACTTTCATGAAGGGATCAACTCTAAAATTTAGTATGTATATACAACTCTGAAATTTAGTATTATGTTTTACATTTTTTTTTTGGTCAAATTATGTTTTTCATTTTCATTTTTATTGATTTAAAATATATTTTTCTTAACGGGTAAAGAATCGGGTTATATTACCTGATAATATTAACGGGTTGATTTCAGGTCGGGTTGATTTCAGGTCGGGTCGTATTACCCATTTACTTTAACGGGTATTACACGAACACGAGAAACATGACATGAATGCTAGGTCTAATTTCTTTATGCTATTATTATTTTTCTTTTTGTGTACTTCTTAAGTAGTTTTAAGAAGAAAATGAATGTGCGGAAATCAATTTTCTACCGATTAAAGGGATTTTCTGTTCTTACCATTTTCATCATCTTCTTCGAGAACGTCCGACTCAAAAGCTGGGAAGTGCTTGAGCTTGCAGCAAAAATTGGGAAGTTGTGATACAAGGTCAAAAAAGTCATTTCTTATGGTGGGAATATTCTTTGCATAAAACTATGGTTTGTGAGTACAAAATAATCAAGCTAAAGGTACTGTTATAAATAGGCAAAAGTTATAATCCGTCAGGTTCAAAGCGGATGCAAAATATCACACTTTGTTATAAATAGGCATAAGTCACATGTCAATTTTTTTCTGAAACTACTAAACTTATTAAGTAACGGAATGTAATTACGTCCATTACAGGAGAGTATGTCTCCTCATAATCAATTCCAGGTCTTTGTGAAAAACCTTGTGCAATGAGTCGTGCTTTATATCTTGCAATCTCATTTTTCTGATTGCGCTTTCTTGTGAATACCCATTTGTAACCCATGAGATTTACATCAAGTGGAGTTTGGACTACTGGTCCAAAAACACTTCGCATTTCTAAGGAATTTAATTCTACCTGAATTGCATCTACTTAGGCCTATCTTGTCTCTGTTTGCATTCATCAACAGAACAGGCTCAATATCATCACTTAATATGATTTCAGTGGCTACTGTAAACGCGAACATATCGTCGATGATTATTTCATTACAATCCCACAATTCATTAGTACATGTATAATTTATGGAGATTTCCTTGCTTTCATGTACCTCTATTTCTTCAGGGACATGTGTCTCATCAAGGACATTTTCTTTTTCTGAAAGTATAGAATCATGAATTGTGGATTTATCATTCATTTTCTCTTCCTGAATGATTTTATTCGGATTCAGCAGTGCCCTCGTCTTTCTCTTTCAAGGGGCTAAATCTTTTGAACCTAAGGGTCTACCACGCTTCAGACATGCACTAGATGAATCATTCGCTGCCACTTTATTTTGTCCAATGGGGACATCAATTCTAGCAGTGCATTTTCAACTGGTATATGTGATTTTATCACTTTCATAGCATCATTAAATGCATCTGACATTTGATTAGCAATACTTTGAAGATGAACGATCCTTTTCACTTCATTTTCACATTGAGTGCTACGTGGATCAAAATGAGACAAGGTGGGTACAACCCATGTCAGCTCATGTCGTTATTTTGGAATGGTCTTTTCTCCTCCTAATGACGGAAAGACTGTCTCATCAAAATGACAATCAGCAAAACGAGCTGTAAACATATCACTTGTCAAGGGTTCCAAATATCTAATGATAGATGGTGAATCAAAACCTATATAAATTCCTAGTCTGTGTTGAGGTCCTATTTTAATGCATTGTGGTGGTGCAATAGGCACATAAACAACACAACCAAAAACTCATAAATGTGAAACGTTTGGTTGATGCCCAAACACGAGTTGTACCGAGGAGTATTGATGGTTGGCTATAGGTCTCAATCGAACCAATGATGCAGCAAGTAAGATGACATGTCCCCATGCAGAAACTTGCAATTTTGTTTTCATGAGCAGAGTACGAGCTATTAATTGAATCCGCTTGATAAATGCTTTTGCTATAACATTTTGAGTATGGATATGAGGAATACGGTGTTCAACATCAATGCCCAATGTCATGCAGTAATCATTAAAGGTTTGAAACGTAAATTCACCAGCGTTATCAAGTTGGATTAACTTAATGGTGTGATTTGGGAATTGTGCTCGCAACTTAATTATATGAGCAAGAAGTCTCACAAAAGCTACATTTCAAGTAGACAAGAGACAAACATGTGACCATTGGGTAAATGCATCAACCAAAACCATAAAATATCGAAATGGTCCACAAGATGGTTGAATATGCCCACAAATATCCCCTTGAATTCTTTGCAAAAATAATGGGGATTCAACATCAACCTTTAGTTGTGATGATCTAATCACCAACTTCCCTTAATAACAAGCCTTGCAAGGATTATCATTTGAGATAGTGATGTGTCTGCTTAATAATCGATGTCCATTCGAGTTGGTAATGATCCTACGCATCATGGTGGATCCTGGATGACCCAGACGGTCATGTCAAATCATGTACACCTTTGAATCAATGAACTTCTGGTTCATGACAATATGTGATTCAATTGTCTTTATGTATGTATAATACAATTCACTCGACAAACCACGCAACTCGTAATGCATAGATACTCACATTTTCTGCACTTTTCGTTTCAATGTGGTATCCATTTAAACGTATGTCTTTAAAACTCAACAAATTTTGAGCAGATCGAGTAGCATAGAACGCATTCTGTATGAACAATATTGTTCCATTTGGTAATAGATCTGGCCTTTTCCTAAGTCTTCAATTACATCCGATTGGCCTGATATTGTTGTTACCCTTACTTTTATAAGCATCAAGCTTGCGAAATACTTTCGATCTCAAAGTATTGTATGCATGGTTGCATTGTCTACAAGATAAATATCTCTGCTATTTCTCTTGTTTTGAGAATAACCATAGTTTTTATCCATACTTTCTGAGTAAAGGGGATCATGGTTAAAAACAATTTATTCATAATAAAACAACATTTAAATGCCACTTTTACTGAATTGAAATGCGAGTTTTAAACTACAAGTTTAGAATAATAAAAGTACATCAAACATAAATGATTCAATCAGACCAATACACTTCATTCCCTCTTTCCACAATGAAATCCAAGACATCTAGGTGAATTGTGTTCAACTGCCCTGATAAGTCGAACATTGGATCAGGTATATCCATTGGTCTAGCCTGGTCGAGGAAATTGGTCTCGACACTCTTCTCCTTGAGGGAGGCTTGATATAGATCCACCAGATGTTTCGAGGTACGACAAGTACGAGCCCAGTGCCTATTGCCACCACACCTATGACAGGATCCTTCAGAGTTTCTAGGAACATTGTTCATATGAGTTTTGCCTTTGTGGCGATTTACATTTTTGAAGCTTGGGCCTAAATTATGCCTTGGAACCTGAATGTGAAACTGGACATCATGATTCTTATATTTTTCGTTCCACCAGCCTCGTTTGTGGCCATGTCTTCTTTTATGATTATTGCCACCAGAGGATGTGGCGTTCATCTCGATGAAAGCATCATTCACTTCTGGGAATGGCGCAAATCCAATAGGTTGGGACTGATTATTTTTCATTAGGAGCTCATTGTTTTGTTCAGCTACCAGGAGCACAGATGTCAGCTGGTTGTATTCAGTGAAGCCTTGCTCTCTATACTGCTGCTTCAAGAGCATGTTTGAGGCATGAAAGGTGCTGAAAGTCTTTTCCAGCATATCTTCCTCAGTGATGGTTTCCCCACAGAGCTTCATTTGAGAGCTAATTCTTAACATCGCAAAATTGTACTCAGCCACTGATTTGAAATCCTGGATCCTTAGGTGAGTCCACTCATAACGAGCCATTAGAAGAATCACCATTGTCTGAAGATTGTATCTGTTTCTCAATGCCTTCCAGATAGCTAATGGATCCTTAACCGTTAGGTACTTGCTCTTTAGTCCTTTATCAAGATGGCGACGGATAAAAATCATGACCATCGCCCAATCTTGAGAGGATGCATTGTTTTCCTCCCTAATGGTTTCTCTAAGATTCCCTGCCTCCAAATGGATCTTAGTGTCCACTACCCAGGTACGGTAGTTCTTTCCAATAATATCCAGGGCAACAAAATTAAGTTTTACCAAGTTTGCCATTTTCTTTTATTTTCTGAAAGAAAAATGGGATGTGTAAGAACTTGTAATAATATGTATTCCTAGAAGAATATAGTGTTAGAACTTTTGATTTTTACAAATTTTTCATTTTTAATCTTCCGGCCAAAATGATAAGCGCTCGAAACTTCAGGCTCAAGATTTACATGATTATTGAGGAGGGCAATTATACTACACCATTCTCGTTGAGGTAAGCATAGAATGAGCGATTATTCCACACCACTCAAACAGTAGGAAAATTTAAATATGCAGATTAGGGTGGACTATTATACCGCACCACCTAAAATTGCAATAAAATTAAATCTGCAGCTCAATATAGGCAATTGTACCACACCGTCTTTGATTATAATAAAATTAACATAAATAAACACTAGGTTAGTAATCAGGAACTACACCAAACAAGAAATCAAAGATATAAGTAATTGTCAAATTGAGAACGACAGGCAGGCATAATGCTAACCGTTCTTCGCGAGGGCACATCCTGCAGATGAGGCAGAGGAAGAAGAAGAACAGGAAAATCCTTGGACGAAGCATTTTTTTGTTCTCTTCAATGAAGGGAAACGAGAACTAGTTAAGGTTAGAGAGTTGTGCTGATAACGTGTTATAAATAGGCAAAAGTTAGAGGGATAACATTTGCTAGGAATAGTATGTGGTTGAGTTGACATATTCATTGAAACTGTATGTGGCACATGGCACGTAGCATGTAATGAACTGATGATTCTCAATTTTCTCATCCACTTTGAAGTTAATCATTGACTTTGAATAATTTCTCATATCTTTCTTTAATGTAGAGGTATTACCCCTGCAAACATAGTGTGACTAATGGGGCAAGCCGGTTGCGATTGCAGATTGCATCGTCGGAAAGTTGTATCATGAGTAGTTGTGTAAGGCCTCTAAAACAATGTGAGATCAATCCGGTGGTTCTCCTCCATTGCTTTGACAGGTTTGTAATGCTTGCAAATTGCCGATTGACCCGTTACAAGGTGATTTCGTGCTGAACATGTTTCATCATGTTTGTATCTTTTAGTTCTTGTTTAGAATGGAGGTGCGCGTACCCCCTGCTTGAAGAGGCCGGTTTGGAGGCTTGGGCCGTTGATGTCCTTGGGTGGGGCTTCTCTGATTTAGGTTCGTTTACCTGCCTTTTCCTCATTGTTTTTTTTTTACTGGCTGGATATGATTATATACTTCCAGTCTCTTTATTGCAACAAGTGCTTAATGTTCATCGGTTTAATCATTTTTTATTTGTTATCTATACTAGAAAGGTGTCCACCATGCAGCGTAGCATCCAAGCGGCATCACCTCTATCAGGTATATATGCAGTGTGATTTTCTTTTCTTTATTCTTTTGTTGCTCCAGTGAATATTGTTTCGGTCTATCTGCAAAATGGTTTTGATATTTTGTTATGTTAATTACTTTAAGTTAAAAATGGTATACATTTTTCATCATCTGTTGAGATAATTCGAATCTAATCTTATTGTTTGAGCTTGGAGATATAACTGGATTTCACATTCGAATTATAGTTTTGGAAGTCCTACATCAGAAGACCGATGGTATTAGTTGGACCAAGCCTCGGTGGTTCTGTTGCAATTGACTTTGCATACCACCATCCAATAGCTGTGAGCGTCTATCATATTGAGCTCCTTAGCTCCAGATGCGTTGTTTTAGAAATTATTTAGTGTGCATTTGATAAATTTAATTCTTGTTTTCTATTTTCAGGTTGAAAAGCTGGTTTTAATCAATGCAAGCGTTTACGCAGAAGGCATCGGAGACATGGCAAAGTTACCTAAAGCTGTGGCCTATGCTGGGGTTGGTGTCCCCTTACAGGGGTATTTCAACCCTATGTGAATTCTCTTAGTTTGCTTGCTTAATGTTCTGATCTTTTTATTCACCAGGTTTCTTTATTGAAGAGCACCCCTCTACGCTTCTACGCAAGTATGTTGGCCTTCAACAGCATTTCATTAGCTACAACCTTTGATTGGACTAATGTAAGATAATACTTCTGTTAATATACTCAAGTTCCAACTGAAATAGGCATATAGTATATTGTCGAAATTTTTATCTTGGATTTTGAAGTATGTGTAATGGAAAGCTAATAGAGATCGTGCCATATTTAGGTCGGACGCTTACACTGTTTGCTGCCTTGGTGGAAAGATGCAACGGTCAGTTTTATGACTAGCGGAGGCTATAATGTCGTTTCCCAAATAAAACAGGTAAACTCTCGCCATCTTAATGGGTACGGTATATAAGTGGTATGCAGAATTCCGCAAGTCGGGTAGGCAATAGTAAGCTTGTATTCTGAAATTTTATTTTACAGGTGAAGCAGAAAGTACTAGTGATTTGCAGCGAGCAAGACAATATTATCAGCTACAAACAAATATTGGTGAGTTTTGAGCTCTACCTGCTACTTAACTTTTCCTGTCGTACTTAAACCAAGCATGTTTCGCAATCATTTTAAGACGGAGGACTTAATTTATTCTCTTAATCTCAAAAAACGCACGAGAGATTGCAAAACCTACTGCAAAATCGTTGCAAATACTCGATAGGCCTATTTGAAGCGTTTTGGAAAACTTGAGGCGAAATGTATTGTGCGACCACTGACATTGCCGGTTGCATATGCTAAGATGTCAACATATATGCATGCCTTAATGAGTCTTCTTCTTGTTGTAATCAAAATGCAGAGGCTGCGTTGTGAGCTTCCGTCTGCAATCATGCGTCTAATACCGGATAGCGGTCATCTCCCTCACGTTGATAATCCCGCCTCCATTGCAAAACTAATCGTAGGGTTTGCTCGGAATGGTCGTTGCTGAGAGAATCCCACCTCTGGTCCTCTGTGGTAGAATTATAGGACTTACTCCCTGCTAAGAGGCTCGTTCTTCTTCTTAGCAATACTAAGTTTTTCTTTGAACACTTATTTTTTTATAGTTGTAAGTTAATGAAAAACTTAGCGCAAAACCAAGTGTAATGATGTTATATAGTTCATACAGCCGACCCCACGTAATGGGATGAAGCTTCGTTGTTGTTGTTGTACTTATTTTTATAGTTGTAGTTATAGGTCCAGCACTTAACATTTATCATATTTGTTTATATAATATGAATCTGAATAAGAGATTGAACAGCTAACCAAGAAATATTATGAATATTAGAGACAAAAAATAATTACGATTGAATAATTCAGTATACAAGTCTTGTGTTCAAAATTCCCTTAACTGATATCACTTCTATTGAAAAATACAAAAAATATTGGTTTGCATCTTTCACTCAGTAAAATATCAACAGACTTATAGATACTTGCAATCTTATTTTTTCTTCACACTTCTAACATAATATGAAAGAAAAATTGCAATGTTTGTTCTGTGGTGCATATGATTGAGTGATCCAAAAAATTAATAGTTAGATCTTGCATATATGAATCTAATAGAACAATAAATTTTTGCAACAGTTAGATCTTGTGTAAAACTTATACTATTGAATAATACGCGCTATTGTAGCCGAACCTAGATGTCATTCGGTAAACCTACTTTATATAGATTGGGAAAATCGTACAGTTTTTTTAAACCATGTGCTATAGCTCAAATCCATAGTCAAATTTATTTCTATTTCCGATATTCGGATAATTCTAATTTCATTTAGAACATTGGTGTATTTTAAGCTTTAAATATTTACTCACATTGTACTTTAAATTAATTTAAACAACGAGAGAAGATTCGACCTTGGTGCAGGAACAAAACATTGCTCTAGCTAATATATTATTTGTCTTCTTCTATCATATATTTTAAAGAACTAAATTATTATTGGTTCAAAAATCCACTAAATATTGGAAAAGTAATTTTCTCTCTTAACCAAAACGGTGCGTTGCGAACGGCTCTTGTTATTTTCAGTTACTAAACCCTAGTTTCCTTCCCTCGCTTTTGTCTTAAACCCTGCTGCTAGCCTGCTACCACCTCTCTCTCTCTCTCTCTACAGTCTCATCCGCCAGAAGCAAAGCGATGGACGCCGACGGAAATTCCGAAGAGCCGTCGCTGTTGGTCCTCGTCCGCTTCAAAACGGACCTCGGCCAGCCCTACAAAGTTCCAGAATCCTCCATATCCATCCCCGCCAGTCTCACCCGCTTGGGCCTCTCCACCGTCGTCAACAACCTCATTACATCAGGTAGCCTCTCATGTGCTTACACTTGTTTTTCCCTCCGCCGTTGATTCTCTAAGAAAGGATTTTACTTTTTGGTGTTCTGAAGCTTTGATTGGTGATTGTGATCAGGAAACCCTGATTGGGAATCGGAGCCTTTCGATTTCCTTATCAAGAATGAGCTCGTTCGGATGTCGCTTGAAAAGTTCCTTCTTGCCAAGAACATTTCCGCGGTGTGTATTTCCAATTTGTCGGATTCAATTTGCAATTTGTTGTGTGAATTGTGTGCATAAGTTTTCTGATAAAATGCTGTATGTTATGCAATTGCAAGCAACGTGAAATAGAAGGCAATGCTGAGAGAATGGATAAAAGTGAACTGAGAGAATGGTAATAAATGACGGGATTGGAACAGGGGAAGTTAGAAAGTTATCAGCTTGGTTAATGATAGGGCTTCACTGCAGGATTTGTAATTTACTTGTTCCATCTTAAAACAAACTGAAGTAAACTTTGAGAAAAAGAAACATAGATTTCCATTCGTTAGCGGGGTTTTCTGAACTACACCTTGTTAGGCGTAAATTGAACTCAGGAAATTCAGTTTCAGAGTAAATTGAACTACACCTTGTTAGGCGTAAATTGAACAAATGGGATACTTGAAAGATTTGGGATTTGTACATCCCGTATACCATTAAATCCTGTATTGAAGTTCTGAATCCAAACTGGTGCTAAGAAACCAACAAGAGATAAGTTAATTGGATAAATTATTCCAGTTAGCCACATAATATGAGTTTTTCAATTATTTTTTTCGGTTTCACAACTATGAAAAATTGATTTCACCGATTATTTATTGCGTTTAAATTTACTGGTTGACTTTGGAATTAGGGTTTTTTTTGGTGTGCATTTTTAACTTTAGTGTCAAGTGCAGCTCTAGGGTTGCATATGTTGCTCTAACAAGCTGATTTGAGAGAAGTAATTTTCATCATTGTCATTTTATCCACCTTCTTATTTGATATCTAATGATGGGTTTATGACTATGACAGGAGAGGATATTGGAGATAGAATATATACGGGCTGTGGTCCCACGGAAAGAAGAAGAACCTTCTTTACACAATGAATGGGTTAGTGCAGTTGATGGTTCTAGTCCCAGGTACGCACATCACAATTTGTAATGTGTACTTCATTGCTTCATTTCTTATCCTACAATCTGCATGGCTTGGGTTTTCACCTCTCGAATAAATTTACTGTTCACATGATGCTAGGTGATGTAAGTAAACAATAAGGATATATCTGTTGCTAATAAAATTTAAAGTTAGAGTAATTTATTTGAGCTGGGGAGTTTTAGTTAGGTCCTTGTACTATTAAATAAGGTAGCATGGAGTAGCTCCTTTCAGTTCAACTCCAAATCTCTTCAGAGGAAACTCCAATTGTCCTTTTTCAGAATGTTTGGTATTCATTGGATATATTTTCTTGCATCCCAGCATAATATGAAGTTATCTCTGAAAACATTATTCTAAATTTTATATTCTTGTTTTGGCCCTAAAGTAGTTTGAAACTCCTGTAATTTGTATTATGTGGCAGGTTCTTTTTGACAGGCTGCTATGATGGCTTGGGAAGGTAATTGCACTAATTTTTTTTTTCTTTTCTTGTGTACCTTGTGATTTCTTATGTGGATACATAATACAGAAGCTTGATATCTGATTTTTTGAATTTATCATCTTTTAGGGTGTGGAAAGCCCCTGGAGCATGTACACATATACTGGAAGGACACAGTGGACCTGTTACTTCAGTTAGTATAATCAATCCAAAAGGTAGCTATAAGCTATAAGTGTTCATGATTGGCTTATTCCTTGTTGAATATGGCCAGGATACTGTTGTTATCAGTTCTCTAGTGAATGTCAATTGGCACGGTCAACTACTTACAATTTTTCAGTTCTGGCCTTTAGAGGACCAAGTTATTATGGCATCCTCATTGTCTTTGCCTTTGGATTTGAAAACCTTTTCATGTCTAATGGGATACTTCTGTGCGTTAAGTTCTGTTTGTGTTAGGGAGGTGGTCTTTACATGGTAGCTGCTTGGGTAGTGCAGTTCCCATATCTATTTTGTCGTAAGTGCTTAAGCTGGTATTCATTTTTTTATGCAGGTGGAGAAAGTGTTACCGTAGCTACTGCTTCGAAAGATCGGACACTGAGGCTGTGGAAGGTAATTGGATGACCATACTGTTTTCATAAGGATAGTATGACATGTATACTAAATCTTTATTATTTGTTTTTTGGGAAAGTTCAATGCAGAAGAGACCCGAAAAAATCCTTTGAGGATAAGAGCATTCAAAATTTTACATGGACATACAGCTGCTGTTCAAAGTGCTGCTGCTCAGACCTCTGGAAACATGGTCTTGTCTACTTCTGATTTCCAACATATAATTTGACAAGCCCAATATATAATTTGACAAGTAGTGTATGTGAGATTGGGCTTTGGCATAAGTCTATAATTTACCTTTTCTTTTGTCTTCTTACATATGCTTAGGTCTGTTCAGGCTCTTGGGATTCCACTATCAATTTATGGCAGACAAATGAGCCTGATGCAGAAGGTGATACTGTGTCAACAAAGAAGAGAAAAAAGATTGGTCAAGAAAAGGAATTGCAGTTGGAGGTATGTGATATGCGTTTATTATTTTATATAAAAGGTTTTAATAATTTTGGGGTGACATTCAGTTGACTAAGTGGGCACAAGCTTATTAAATATTTAACTCGGGGTGCACACGGTATATACAACTTCCCCCTAACAAATGGCTTAACCCTTTGTTATCGATTGAAATTTTTGCACTAGTGAATTCTTGATGGTTTCTTTGGTTCTGCCATAAGTAATGGAAAGATTGTCATTTGAAGGAAATATCTATATAAGAAAAAGTGGTTCAATTATTTCTTTGAACGGGATGTCTAACTGCTTGGTTATTTCTTTGAGAGTTGTTGAGCTAGAAATGAATGAAATGTTTCCTTTTTTATTAAGATTTAGAAGATTATTGCATCAATCATCCTGTTCTGACATCCTATGTCACTTTACTTTTTCCAAAATTTCATTTTAAATTAGACTAGCTTGTGTCCTTTTTGACAATTTTTTTTTTTCTTCTGAAAATATTATAATATTAAGATTTTAGTGAGCCAGATTGTTTTTCCTGTTATTGATAGTTATTATACATTATATTACGTCACAGGGGGAGGCTGTTTCTTCTCTAGTAGGTCATACACAATGTGTATCTTCTGTAAAGTGGCCGGAGCCTAAAACAATCTATTCTGCATCATGGGACCATTCTATTAAAGAGTGGAATGTCGAGAGAGGCACAGCCACATCGACAATAGTAAGTACAAATAGCCTTAGCATTCTGTTGTCTGAAGTCTTTTTCATAATCATGCTTGCATTCGTTCTGTGGCATCAAATCACTCAATATGTGGCATTGGCTCTCTCAGAGTTATTAAATGTTTGTATGATAAACATTATCCTGGTGACAGTACCATGATAAAGTACTCAACTGCATTGATATTGGAGGTGAAGGTTCTGCTTTGATTGCTGCTGGTGGTTCTGACCCCATTGTTAGGGTATGGGATCCTCGTAAACCAGGTCCGTTAGATGAGTCAAGTGTTATGTTCTCTCTTTCTCTCTTCCATGCACACAAACAAACTAAAGAACACAAGCATCTGACATAAAAGCTTTTATTATTTTTGTAGGAACTTCTGCTTCTATCAAAACTTTCTCATCTCACACTTCTTGGGTTACGGCATGCAAGTGGCATGACAAGTCTCCGTTTCATTTAGTCTCTGCATCTCATGATGGAAAAGTTATGCTGTGGGATACGAGAACTGCTGTATGTTTTCTTCTTGTTTTTGTTTTCTAACAAGTTCACGACTGCTGCCCAGCATGAACTTTAGATAAATTCGTTACTCAATAATAGTGTTTTCTCTTGCAGTGGCCCTTGTTTATCTTTGATTCACACAAGGAAAAGGTGC